GAAGCCCTTGAAAGAACACAAGAACAACAAGCCAACAAGACTAACAAACATGTCATTCAAAGTAGGGGACAAAGTCTGGCTCTCTGCCAAACGCTTTGAACCCGAACAAGGCTTGTCCAAGAAACTCTCGAACAAGTGGCTCGGTCCCTTCCCCATCATTGAACAAACCTCCCCCGTCAACTACAAACTCCAACTCCCCCCTGACATGAGTCRWGTCCASCCAGTCTTCCATGTCGAGTACCTAAAAGAATACCATGAATCCCCGCTCCAGTTCGCCGACCGCCCATATCCAAGACCTCCACCAATCATGCTACCCACAGGCCCTGAATTCGTTGTCGAAACCATCATCGGCCGACGAACCACTCAGGTATCTGATCATCCGGAACCAATCACTGAATACAAAGTCAAATGGACCGGATACCCCGACGAAGAATCTACATGGGAACCTCTCTCTAATCTTAAGAACGCCATGAAACTTGTCCGCGCCTATGATCGTGCTAATCCTACGTCCTAGATACCTATATCACTATGGCATAAACCCCCGCTAAAAACCCTTGCAACCCTGCTTTACACACACCCTTGAACCCAGTCCACCCTTCCCTTGATCTGCATTCCTGATGTCTGATCTGCCCTTGCCCTCGCCTAGCCTTGTCCCATCTGTCCTCTCCACTACCTTATCTCTCTTGTCCAATGCTTGTGTTGCGTGACGCCGGCGATAAAGGATCTAATGGCAAGCGCACGAGGATGATGGCCTGCTGCCTCACTGTTCATGGAGATTATGCAGCTGGTTTGGCCACCATGTTGTTTCATTGGCCGGCATCCCGACTCGTGGACTTACTGGAGCAGCAACTTGTGACATGGATCTTTGCATCAGTCTGCGACTTCCTTGCTTCCCAGATCAGACCTCATTGCAGTTCGTGTACCGGACGCACCCTAGCACTTGGACCTTGACACTTGAACTACTACTACGCTTCTTGGACTTCTACCTATCGCAACTGCTGAAGACCGCTGCAGACCCCCTTTCAAGACACTTGGACACTTTGTTCCTACATGAGATTCTGCTTCCCACTCCTTCGGACACACCAGCCTTCGCATCCTGAACAAACATTTTCATTTTTATTTTTCCTAACTTTGACAACCCTGTAGAACATCATTAGAAATACCCTGTTTTCCTGAACACCGTTTCCCGTACCTACTAGAACATCAATAGAAATACCCTGTTTTCCTGAACACCGTTTCCCTTACCCAGTAGAACATCAATAGAAATACCCTGTTTTCCAGGACACCGTTTCCCTTACCCAGTAGAACATCAATAGAAGTTCCCTGTTCCATGAACTCTGTTCCCCCTTAACCTATAGCGAACCATGCAGTCCCCTTAGTTCATCAGTAGGACCACCCTGCTCCCTATCTTCCCTTTAGTTCGTTTGTAGGACTACCCTGTTCCTTCCAACCCCCCCTAGTTCATCAGTAGGACAAC